CTCTGGCATGAACTAACAGCAAAATCTCACTCCTTACCAAGGAGATGGTGCTAAGCCATTCATGAGGGATCTGGTCCCATGACCCATTCGTCTCCCGCCAAGTCCCACCTCTAACATTGGGAATCACATTTCAACATGAGATTTGGAGGAGAAACACATCCAAACCATATCAGATTACAAACACTGTGTGTATAAGCACAATTGTTTCTGCTGGTCTGAGCCACTTGAGCCCTTTCCCTCTAGTCACATGGAGTACCTCTTCTTGTCCCCCATACCCACTGCTGCTTCCTTCCTATAGCCCCTGCCTTGCCACAGCCCTTGGAACCACACCAGGTGCTGGTTATCTCCTGTCAATTCCTGTTATATTTGATTTCCCAGAGACATGTGGCCCTGTGACCCCATACACCTGTTTGAAGCTTGACAGTCTCCCCTTGACAGTCTCCCCTCCTGATGCTCCATCATTGTTATGCTTCTTCCCAGACATATTCACTAGTTCCTTTGCCTTTTCCCATCTCATAGATGTTCCTGTGCCCCGGGTTTCTATTCTTAGACATTTTCTCGTTTCATTTAGAGTGCTCATCAAATAATCTCATCAATGTCCAAGACTCCAATTACAGCTTAAATGTTCATGACTTTTCAATGGCTCTCCTAAACTCACACATACGTGACTGCCTACTACATCTAAAATCTTAGGTACACCTTCCTACCATCTACATTATTGCAGAGCTTAAATAATCAAATTATAAATTATACAAATATAAAAAATAAGTAATTTTATGTTTATTAAAAATTGCTTCTTTTTAAAACCACTTTATATGTCTTCTATAGTGCTAGTTCTTAATACAGATTCCGTAGATATCTTAAAAGATAGAAAAATTGTGGCTTATGAAGACACTGCAGAATTCTCTCTTAAAATAGGTATATATCGAGCAAAGGATTACTGGCATTGCAGTATTTCACCTAATCAAAGATTTTATCCAATCTGTGTAAATGAATGTCTTCTTAGAGGACAAACTGGTCAAAATCATAATAGTGGCATATGTTGAGGCCACATAGTGTAGTTATCTACACAGAACTGACAGTATTGTGGAGAATACCTAGAATCTTGAGAATTTATACAGATAGTAATAACTTACATCTGTATAGCAAATAATATACATATCAGATTCATTTAGCTTGTATAATCCTTGTAATATCCTGAGAATAATGAGTCAGATGCTATCCTCAGTTTACTGATTATCCAAAAAAAAAAAAAAGCTTGGAGAAATTAAATGAATTTTCCAAATTTATACTATTTATAAATGGGAGAGCTAATGAAAGTCACCTGTCTGGGTGTAACCCTGTACCTATTTCTTCTAAAGCATACTGTGTGTATCCCAAGAAAGTAGCTAAATTTTTTAATAAATGTATAAGGCATCTTGAATGAAGACAATATGCATTTTATAATTTAGATATTTCTGTATTTCATTATTCAGAATTCATTTTAAAAGTCTCCTTGTTGGTGTGGACGAAATTGGCAACTAATCCTATCCCATAAATATTTTCAATGGTCTTCAGCTGATGGTGTGAAATTTCAGCAAAGGCCAAGTCACGAGGCTTTGAAGTTTGTCATCTTTTTTATCACTGCTCAGATTGCCATGAAGACACCAAGTAATACATGAATCAATTATAGTTAAATGACCCAAGTTGATCTTATCAAGCAGTTAGTGGGCAGGATTTCACTTTTACCATTTTTACTGGTAATTTAGAGTGTAAGAACCCTAGGAATTTAAATCTACTTAGTTTTACTTAATCAATGATGTATTTGTATATTTAATTTAAAACATTGTTTTTGGAGAAGGAAGAGAAAAAGAGAAGTTCTTCATCCATAGATAAGGTGTTCAGAAGGAGACCAGTTAAACTAAATTTTGACTATAATTCAGAATTGTGTAAAATTTCCTACCTTATTTCAAGTTCATTGTTTTCATAATGACTTTATCAAGATAGCAGAAACATGGCTTTATCTATTAAATTATAAATGTGTTTTTTTCTTTTAAACATAATCAGTTTATAAGAAATAAATATAAAACTACATTGAGGTAGAAATTTAGTAAAAATTAACTCTACATCTATGTAACTTAT